GCGCAAGAATTGAGAGACACTCGTCCCATAGGAACCCGGCCAGCAAATGATTCTCAAGCAAAGCTAGAGCAAGGACATTTTCATGAGTCTTTATCAGTGGAACCCCGTTCAAAAGTTTGCTGCCACCGGGATTTTATATTTGAAAATCTCTGGAGCTTCAATGGGCGAAAAAGCCAAATTCCTAAATTTTCGAAATAGGCCGATTCAGGTAGTTCAATCCGTTTTTTGAAGTCGTTTCTGACCTCCTGTTTTTCTTCCTCTGGAAGCTCGAAGCCTCGAAAGCCGATACAACACCAACATTCTAAAGTACAATGGCCTCTACCTTTCTTTCTTTTAGATAGATGCCTCCGTGAGCAGCATCCACATTCCCGGCTGCAACATCCACCTTGCTCCGAACAATCCTGAACCATTTCTTCACGCATAAACCATTTAGCATCACGTCTTAGACTATCGTACGCCTTTTTGAGCAACGGACAAAGCATAGTCTCCGCTCGGTAAAGGGCGTGCTCCATTCTAGGAAAATGTGCTTGAGCCTTTTCAAGCTGCTGCTTGGCATTTTCGAGCTGGGTTCTATCAGACTCGATAGCTGTGGCCTTTTGTAAGGCTTGAACCCTATGGAGTAACGTTTCCTCACACTGCGATAATTCACGTAGAGCGAGCTCGGCATGAATTAAATCAGTGATGTCGGACCGCCTGAAGCGTTTTGATGCGTATACCAGATACTCAGGATTATATCTATAGGTTTCAAGCGTTGGCTTGCTGGAGGCTTTCATGATCCTATGGTGGATGGAGCTTAGTATGAGAATAAGGTAAAGGGTAACATTTACTAAGTACCTTGTGGTGGGGGAGACGAGATATAAAATAAGAATCTTCAACAATAAGGAAAGATATTGAAAGGTTGAAGCAGGAAGAATGTGACATGACCGAGAAAATTTTCAAGTATGACGGATCAACCCCGAGTCCTATGCGAATCATGACGAAGGTCACTTGTCATGAACACTAAAGATGACGGGAATCGCGTACAATTCACCTTTTCACTTTTCGAATTCCCCCTCCACCACCCTCCGGACGTTGTCGTCGATCCTCGCCTACAGCCAGCCATCGATCATGATAGACTTGTAGGTTCATTTATCTTATTTCGGGACGTCAAGGGTTGGACGCGTTAGATCGCCGATCAGTTCTTTCAGCCGCAGTGGTCTACGGCATGGCAGTCTATTACCGCCATCGGGCCAAAACGGGCTTCCCCTATAAATTCTTCACTGTCTTTTATATCGCCTTTATGACCTACTCACTTTTATAAGGCTAGCTACCCCTTTTTTTACTAAGGCCTAATTAAGTATTATATATTGCCTACATTATATTTAATATACCTCGATTAGCTCGTATATTCATAAGCAATAAGTCCTTTCATACCCCTTACTTTTATATAATTTATATGATTAACCCGAGGCACTCGAAAATAGGCGAAAAAAGAGGTGGAAAAAGAGATGAAAAAATTAAGTAAAACGGTATATTCTTATGGAGACTGCCTAGTATTTTATCAATAGCACTGTAGGCAACATTCAATACTCTATTTCCTACCTATTTATTGAGGCGTATTAGATGCAAATGCTCAATTTCCTACCAACTACCGTACCCCTCACCGTCTTAGCATTTTCTGAACTCATAAATTGTCTCCATACGAGGACCCCCAGCAGGTGCTTACGCTGCGATACTTGGAGGAGGCGAGGGTGTGGAAGCAGAATGTGGCAACCAGGAGGGTGGTAAGCATCCTTTCAATGCATAGGTCTTTCCTGTGCTGACCACCAAGCCCCACCCTCGCCTGTGGGTGTTATGCGACGCCGACCCTGATAAAGCGGCGTATACTACCACCACCACGATTACCGCCCCCGATCCCACCGACATGATCAACACCACCAGCAGCAGCCCTGACCCCGAGGCTCTCACCCCTATCCTCTTCGTTGGCCCTCCCGCTGGCTGGAGACTTCAAGCAAAGCCTACCAGCGATAGTCTTACGGGCCTATCAGGGGGCTCAAGAAGCTAGCTGAGAAGGGCGCGAAGCTGGGGAAGTGATTTTTCCTCTACTTTTCCTTTTTGTTTGTGTTGCTGCTGTTTGTTTATGCAACCCACCTTCCGCGAACCGGCTAAGACCCGGCCGGGATCAAAGGTGGCATCCGTCTCATCTTCTTACTGTGCAGGCCTTTCCCCCAACACTCTTGTACTTTAGAGGGGGAGAAGTGGTGCGAGCTCTGATTCCAATTGCTACTAGAGTATAGGGTGCTACTAGTGTTGTGGTTGTGTGTTGTATTTTTCTTTCATTATGATTATTTATAGTCTCCCACATAATACTGGTGTCACGACAATGCCTGTCTCATTCTCACACATAGTTATCCTTGAGACGGGCTGCGATTGGTTGAAGTAAGGACAAGGAAACAGTGAGATATGCCCATAACCCTACCACATTACAGAGTGTAGGCGACATAGTTACTGACACAGGTCCGCCGTCAGGGTGACTGGCTGGGGGCACCCATAGACCTTCTTATGAGCTGGGGTACTGTAGCAGGCGGCATCATTGGCCGCACAGTCAAAGACCTCACAACCGTCCCCGGGACTGAGCGAGTTAGGATTCGCTGCGAAGGGGTTCCCCCATTCCGTGCTCAATTCATCTTGAAGAACGATGCGGTTAATAAAAGATTCCTAGCTGAAAGATAGATTGGGTGCACTCACAGTACGCGTAGTCCGGGTTGGACGAGAACGAATAGCCAAAGAAGAGAGGCTTATCCAGCGTCTTTGTCTTGGCGATCTTGACCGTCTGCACATTCGATCTCCAGTCAGTCTCCCTTGCTATATGGAGTATTGCGCGGGCCGAATAGGACGGAGTACGTACCGAGCCAGATGCTCTAAATTTCTCGGAGAAAGTTCCCCCCTTTGGAACGGTGGTGAGAGGGCCGGGGGCGCTGCCATCGTAAGGGAACGACTGCACATACACCGAGGTGGCACAGTGGTTGTTCACGACGGCATTCTGGGCCGAGACCAGGCCGAGGAGGGCACCAAATGTGATCAGGGAGGTCTTCATGGTTGGTATTTCGCTTTTTGTTTTGCAATAGAAGCTTGGATTATCTGTTTCCCTCCCGACAAGGGAAGGAATTGGCGGTCTTCATATAGGTCTGCTGCTCGGACCACAGGTAGTAGCGATGATGTACCGATGGAATACATATGGGAGGCCTTTGATCTAAGACATGGCACCCGTTCTATGTCATGAATTGTCAGGCCACCGCCCGAGGGTCCGTCCCACGGCCAATCAACACGTGTGGCAGGTGAGACATGCGCATCACCGCCACTACATGTACTCCGCATCAAAGACATCGCACCGAGTAGCGTTACATCCACCCCGTGGGCCCCGCGAATTTCTCAACACTGGCAGGAGCTTTTGTTGATGGTTCTCCATAAATAGCAAAGAATGATTTCAGAGTGTGGAGAACTCGCTAGAATCAAGGAATTCGTCGGTTTAGGATCGAAGATTCAACCGGTTTCTGCGCTCCCGACTTGTGTCGCGGTACTGTCCAAGTCATCTATGCGTACCCCGCTTAAACACGATGGAGGATGATGTACCCCGCCAGATCGAAGCTCTCTCTATCCGTCACAAGGTGCCCTCGTACAGACAAGGGAAATGGGAGCTGGGCTCTGATACGGACTAGATCCTTCCTTAGGCCAACATGCCGTTGGTCGACTGGTCCATACCAAGAATCCCATGTCAGCCATGCGGTCACCCTGCCTGGTTCAAGTTCGTATAGTACCCACCTTAACAAACTAATGTCGGGAAAACCGACCGGGAATTTCTGCAGGTGAGAAGGCGGATTCAAACCACCGACTGTCTTCTAATGGAAGACAGCCGATTACACCGGAAGCCATTGGAGTGGCAGGCTGGAACGTTAGCTGCGAGAATGTTAGTCGGCCGACGTATATTAGTGATGACTTTTTGCGCTCTAGGGGACCGAGGAAAAAGGGATATACGAGCCTAGAGTAATATCATCGTTGAAAGAAGTGTAAGTCATCCTACTAAGACAGAAAATGCCACTGACAAGCCTAGCAATATCGGGTAGGTGTCAGGAAGCGTCAAATAGGAGAAAGCTGTGGCTAGCAGGCCGATGATATTGATGAGCAGGATCACTAGTATCATTTGCACATAAGCTAGGTATCGGAAATGACAGTTTGTAGACTTCCGTATAACCTAATTTGGGTCGAAGGGTCCGACCCAAAACCTAACCTAGCCTGGGTCCGGGTCGAAGTCTCCTAACCGGGACCTGACCCGGCGACCTAATACTAAGGCCCTAGTAAAACCAATAGACCTAGCTCGACTCAGTTTTTGCATAATTTTGATCATAAAGCTGCGCGGTCATCAAAATAATATACTCTTTTTTTACATCTGTTCTAGTTTATACCCTAAAACACTATGCTTTCCTTGCATAAACCTTTCGAAAATTTAAGACGGATTTCCTAGCCACTTTAGTGTCTTAAGGCGCCTCGAGAATTAGCCGCGTAGATTATGTGGCTTAGGAAGCCCTATTCTCCACACCCTATGGCCGTATGTACTTTTTCCAGTATAAAAAGGCCTTATATAGGACTTAAACTTACAAAGGCTGTATAAGTCAGTGAAGATTCGCTCGTGGCCACACACCTAACTATATGCAGCTATATAGACCAGATAAGGTCTGCCAGGTGGGGCTTTCCTGTTTTGGCTGCCGCCGCTTTTACGAGGGCGCTCTAACTCAGGCTCAGTGAGTAAGTCTCAGCACGGGCTCAGGCTCAGTGATCAAATCAGTCAGTCACGTGAGGTATGGCTAATGCTCACTGATCGCTCAGTGACCAGTCAGGGGTATGGGGTCGCAACGGACTGGGTACCATAAGAAAGGCTATCATCTATCAGGTAAATAGCTCCAGACAGAGCCAACGCCCAAATTGAAAAGAAAAAAGGCAGACCGTCACTGGTAACGTTCAGATCATTGTGTCTTCTTTGCCTTCACCTTTTTCTCTCTTCGGCGCTTCAGGGCATCCGGAGTGTATTCGGTGTCAAGGAGGTAGTCCCACCAGCGGAAGCTGCTTGAGTAGTTCCCAATGAATTTCTCATGGTGGAGGTCGTGATGATCAGCACCAGCCCAGAAAGGCAAGAAATGGTGAAGACTCCAAGGAAATTCGTAGCCACTGTGGGCATCGACAGCCTGGAACAAGCGCAACACAATCCAGATGTACATAGTGAGGATATGCAGGTTACCGGTGAAAGCACACCAGAGGATCGGGGAGCTGACGGTCCCCAAGCCGAGAATCATCACTTCAATAGGAGAAGCATATTCGGCGGCCAAACCAAATGGTGCGGAATACTGATGGTGAATTTTGTGAATAGCCTTATAGAGTGGACCCCAATGAAGAGCTCGGTGGAAAAAATAGTGCCAAGTGTCCTCCATCACGAAAAATATTGCAATCTGATATGTCATAGTCCAAGGAGACGGAAAAGGAATCGATGTTGATAGACCGAAGAACTGGGCCATTGGGTGGAAAAGCCTAGAAGAGCCGTTATTACTCAATCGGGCCGGAGAGGCAAACGTCGGGTAGAATACCACTCCGTCGAGGGTAGGAACATACCAGATTTGAGGAAGTTCGACGGTGAAGTGGCTTAGAAGCACAAACTTGGCGCAATCCCATTGCTCGCGTAATAAAGGTACTTTGCTCTGAAGCAGAATGTTAGTTTCGATAGCGGCTGGAATTGGGTTGATTTCGGCTAGTGCCAGGTGTTAGGCTTGCCACTTACACTTTGAATCTTGTATCTGTTGAAGAAACCTAAGCTATCGATGAAGATCCACGGAAGAGAGCGGCCGAAGTAGAACAACTCGTGGATGACGAAGGACATGATGCCGGTGGCCAGGACATCATTCTGCACCCACGCATACCATGCGACCCACAATCTCTCTGCCACGCTCAGGTGGGTATTGGATTCGGTAATATCCTGATATTGGCCCCAATAGGTGCCGGGGGGCAGCACGGTAGAATTCCTAGGAGAAAAAGGGTCAATATGCGACAAATTCCACAAAAGAGTATAATTCAACCACCCAAGGGGGGAGGGGTGCAAAAAAGTGGAGAAGATACAGACATTGTGGTTCCTAGCAGGTCTTGAATAAGAGAGAAGAAGCAGAGGCTAAGAGAAGGAGAAGACTATTTCGTGAAAAGGGGAGTAAACAAAGAAAGGATCTGGGGGAGAGTACTATGTGGGGCTCGGATGGCTCCCGGCCCGTCTATGGCCTGACTTTTGTGTTCCGGCTCCCAGTCTCACTCCTTCGGGAATGGCCTGCTCCGAGTTATCGAAAGCAGTACTGGTTCTTACAGTATTTGCAAAATCTGGTAGGGCCACGAACAGTTTCCGCAGGTGTCACCCGGTGCCGCAACCTGTAATTACGGTAATTTTCTCGATTGTATACGCCTCTAAGTTGTGACCGTTGACTGCGGCTATTAGTCGGTGACTTAGTGTGGGTCCGTGCCCACCCTTGGACCCTGCTCAGCGGCAGAGTCAGGTGTGGCTAGAAATGACTGTTATAGCTTCGTTATTCGACTCTCCGCTATAGAGAGACTCTACTGTATGTGGATCGCAAAGGTGAGGTAGATTCGAACGCAGTTTCCGGGCCCGTCCAAATTCGCGTTTCGCCCAAGCGTAGCCCTGACCTATCAGGGTGTCTTGCATCCTCGCTCGCTCAATCATTCAGTCCGACGCATGGCGAAGCATCGTGTGTCAAAGGAAAATCATCACAGCTTCGCAAAAGGGCACCCGCCTCTTCCTTCCGCCATCAACTTCGCCATTGACGCTTCAAACTCCACCTCGCCCTTGCCCACCCATCGCTCAGGTCCCACATCCCTCGTCACATACCCCTCGGGTTGGAAACCCTTCCCAGGCAACGGCAGACCCTGCAGCCTCCGTACCCAGGCCGCTGGACCCCAGCGATTCAGTAATGTGGGCTCGACGTACCAGGGTTCAGCATCAAAGCGCGTGAAATTGATCCGGCCGGTTTTGGGATTTGTTTTCTTGAAGGTGTAGCGGAGAAAGGCCGGGCGCGGGGGCATGCAGTATTTGATGATGTTTTTGCGGATGGTGAAGATGGTGAAGATGGTGAAGATGGTGAAGATGGTGAAGATGGTGAAGATGGTGAAGATGGTGAAGATGGTGAAGATGGTGAAGATGGTGAAGATGGTGAAGATGGTGAAGATGGTTTTGTAGTAGGGAGCGGGGGCGCGGGGATACATCATCGCTTTCCGGAGCCGTTCGTCCAGGAGGACGGTGACAGATTTCTTGCCCGCGTTATGCAAGGGCTTCGGCAGGGTATAGTTGAGCAGATCCGTAGTGTGGTCTGCGACTAGGTTACAATTGGTATCCGGAACCATGTGCTGCGACTCGAACGCTTCGACCCAGATTGCGAGTTCGTCGAGCCAATGCAAGCCGTCTGTGAAGCCGGATTTGTACGACGGAAGGCATTCGTACGAAATGCCCATGGCATCGCCAGCGGATTTCCAGAACGTGCCGACTATGAGACCAAACAGCATCATTAACGACCACTCGCAAGACCCGGGAAGTGCGCAGTAATCGTTGCAGTTGGACCAACTTACAAGCACAAAGCTCCATCTCGTTTAGCTTCCTCCATTCGTACTGCTCGATCCAGCGCTTCGGCTCCAAGGCCAAGACAGCGAGGGTGTACAGCATGTCGTCGTTGCTGATCTTGCCGGCTTTCTGGTAATGGCTGTGAAGGAAATCCAAGCGTGCGAAAGCGGCATTCGCGCGTTCGCTCTCCGGTGCATTGTCGATCCACTCGGTAAAGAGGCAGCCCGTGTCGGCGTAACGCTACGAGCGGCGTAAGCTTGTGGTCTTCGGACGGATCACTCGGGCTTCCAGCTCGCTTGTGAAATACGTTACTTAGCGGCTTGTGGCTTATAGATTTAAAGCTTACTGGATCGCCAAGGCAGCGAAATCTGCCCTGCAAACTAATAAACTTTCTCGGCCTTCCCTATTCACCAGCCGCTTACAAGGATACATATAGTTATGGTATCCTGCCAATCGCTTAATGGCAAGAGGTCATGGTAAGGACATAATCCATCCATTTGTCAGTGCTATACACAAAAGGCTTGACACACAAGAGAAGCTTAATCGAACCATTTTAAAAACACTACCAACCAGCCAGACAATCTTTAACAAGGAAAAGATATAATTTAATCAGTCAAATCAATAAAATTTGCCTAGACATATATCCCTCATAAATGGCCTTGCCTGCATCAGATAGGACCAACCGAAGTTCCGTCACAGTTCATCCTCATCCTCCACCATGTAATCATCATCCGGACAATCCACCTCTTTAAACACCCAATAAACACAATCCGATGGATTCGCGGTCTGATATACATAACCCGTTGGGTACGTCGCCAGTCCATTGTAGTTATTGTAGCTGTTTTTCAAATTAACACAAAGCGAACATTTATCCTTCTCCTCATCCAAATCATCATTATTCACCCGAAGTGGATCGCTGCGATCGCAACTCTTATGCGCCTTAAATGGCGCAATATAGTTCTCGATGTCGCGGTAAATATTCGGATACAAAAACACCCCAGAGAAACCAATCCAGGTCGGACCCTTGGACCAAGCCGAACCGTGCCCATCCCAGAGATAAAACCGGTCGTTCTTGTACACGTTTTGGTCGTCCTGCTCACGCTTGCAAGATCCCCGGGTGGAGCGGCACACGCGGAATGGGCGCCGGTTATCGTCTGCGTCATACCGGTAGTATGCGCCTTGTTGGTAGCCTAGCTTTTGCTTTTTGTTGTTTTCGAGCCGGTAGCATTTACCATAAAAGAGGCCTAGGTCGTCCTTTTGTGGTTGTATTGGTGGCATGGGAGAATCATCCAACGGGGTGAAGAGATTATGGAGGCCCGGGAGGGGTAGCATCGGGGTTGATGGAGCGCTGAGGACGGGAGGGGTGAGAGAAAGGGCTAAGAGGAAGTTGAGATATTGAGAGAGTTGAGGCATATTGACGTAATGACCACTTGGTAGGATTGAGGACTGGTTGACGAAGGAATTGTCTGCTAAAGCGTCGATCTGCCCATCTATTGTCTGGAGAAACGACAGGTTTAAATATCCTGGCTTAGGCCCCTACTGCGAACGGAACCCCGAAGAAATATCAAAAATGAATAAATTAACGAGCTTCCATATGGATTATGGTACAGTGGCATCAGGCCTAAACTCTGCGACTTCCGGATATCCACACTTGGTAGATATAGCGAGGTATAGCGAGTGATGGTTGTATACCTAAGGACAATGTTTGGAAACCCTTTTCTGGGACAAAGTTAACTGAGACTTCTTCGAAACCTACATGGTTTCATTTCCAAGTGGATCAATCAAAGGATTCAACCAGACATGAACACCTTTTGGAAAAAGAACTTCATTCAAGGAAGTATGAGGCTGTTTAGTGTTGTTTGCAGCTTACGGCTAAATTTGATGAATCATGACCAATTTTCCAGTGATGCATTCTGCGCCTTGAGAAGCAGGCCATCCTTTAGGCCTTGGCTTATTCCTAGCCAGTGGCTGTTTACAATCCTGCTGTTCCTTCAATATCGAATATCTAATACCTTAATCAACCATTGTGCTGCCCATTTGTTGATCATTGATATTCCTTTTGCATTTCTCCCTGCCTTGAAGAACATCTATTGAGCTATGAGATCCCTGCTGATATTAACCTCACTTATTTGCACCATCAATGTACAGCTAGGTGCAGGTCATCAAGCTGGTCCGAACATTGCCTGCCCCTGTAGTACAGGTAACACTTGCCATACAAGCAACGATGGTGCTGCACACTGTCCATATTATCCTTACGGCGGTGGCACTGGATTTCAGCCATCCGGGAATCAAATATATCCACCCGGCTCCTATCCTGGGCCAGAAAATCCTTTTTACAATTATCCACCCGGCTATCGCAACCCTCTCCAACCTGGCTACCATCCCTACCCACCATCAGGGCCTGGAAATGGATTTGGCCCTTCTGGCTTAAGACCTCCCTTCTACCCTCCCGGATTTGAACATCCGTTCGGTACTGAGAATCCTTCCCCATCTACCACCAGGTACAGGAAACTAACCCAATCATCTAGGATCGGGATACCCCGGTGGGAGCCAGTATGACCCATGGTTTCCTATATTTACACATCCAGGACCAGGAATTCCCCAGCCAAATCCCAATTGGCCTCGACCTCCAAATGACAATTGCAAGAAATGTCCTCCTGGGCCTAAAGGGGACAAAGGTGATTCGGGGCCGAGAGGTGAACAGGGCCCTGTGGGAAAACAGGGTGAACACGGACCAAAGGGCGATCAGGGCCCCAAAGGTGATCAGGGCCCCAAAGGTGATCAGGGCCCCAAAGGTGATCAGGGCCCCAAAGGTGATCAGGGCCTCAAGGGAGATGAAGGCAACCAAGGCGGCAAGGGTGAAAAAGGCGACAAGGGCGACAAGGGCGACAAGGGCGACAAGGGTGAAACAGGCGACAAGGGTGACAAAGGTGGCACCGGCGACAAGGGCGACAAGGGTGAAACAGGCGACAAGGGTGACAAGGGTGACAAGGGAGGCACCGGCGACAAGGGCGACAAGGGTGAAACAGGCGACAAGGGTGACAAAGGTGACAAAGGTGGCACCGGCGACAAGGGTGACAAGGGAGGCACCGGCGATAAGGGCGACAAGGGCGACAAAGGTGGCACCGGCGACAAGGGTGACAAGGGTGACAAGGGAGGCACCGGCGACAAGGGCGACAAAGGTGGCACCGGCGACAAGGGCAACAACCAACTTCCTAATAATAACACCACTCAGCAAGGCTTGTCACTCTTGGAGCTCGAAAACCTTCGGCTTTGCCAGCCTAAGTCAAACACCGATGGCAAAGAAGTCGAGGTTGGTGGCGTAACATACAAGATAACCTGTCGGCGAGTCATTTCTGGGGAAAAGTACAGTGTATTCAACACACATCGCCTCGAAGAGGCTATGGTTATTTGCTCAACCCTGCCCGGCTGTGAAGCAGTTGGCGCCAGCGGCAGCTCCATCGTCTCATGGAACCCCAGTCGTGGTGTCGAAACAGCCCCATCGCCTGAAGGGATAGTTGCTGTCGCAATGCAGGCTCGACCATCGAAAGATATCCCACCAAACATCAAGAAGGCGCGAGAGAGCGAGTGCCCAGATATCCATGGGTCAACCTTGGATGTAGGTGGCGTCAAATACGAAATCTTCTGCACAAGCCGCAAAAGCACGCTTAAAGACCCTGTGAAAACAATGAGTGCGGAGAAGAATCTTTTTGAATGTCTTGCACTGTGCTCTTCAGAGTCAAATTGCAGAGTTATTGCACCAACAGGGACTACGCAGAAGTGTTCCATGTCTGACAGAGAAGAGTCAGGCTTTGAAAATGATGAAGGGGAGAGTAGGATCTATTGGGTTGCTCGTGCCATGAATAGGGGTTAAATGGCTTTGAAGATACTAGGTGAGGATTAGTATAAGCCATATCTTTCTGTGTCACTTGTCCAGCATAAGAGACTGAGAATACACTAAATCTAATTCTTGGTTTTGATTACGTAGTATTAGAACGCAATGCTTTGGTTCTTACGATGTTGAAATCTTGCTTTCAAACTAATTCTTGCCATCACGCAAGACATGTCCGTCAGAAGGCATAAATACTTTAACATGGGAATTTTCCTGCAGTCACTCAGGTAGAGTCTAAACTGTTGAAGACTTCTTAATCCAATCAGCTTAGTGGGTCACCACGAGAAGTCAAAGCTCTTCAGTGGCAGTCTCTGCTAATCCTGAAAAGCTAAGAAATTAATTTAAACTCCGAGCCACAGCAGCGCAGCCCATTGGAGACATTCTCCGGCGTTTTCAGCGCAACTTATCAAAGAAAGCCTTGTCATACTTAGTTCAAACCCAGCTGAGTCGGCTGAGTCACATATACGATGCGTCTAGTTCAAACCAATGACTGCATGTTCCGCTAATTTCTGGAAAACGCAAGCAGACATAATATGTGGTGCTTGACCAGTCATAGACTCCTTACTACTGGTGATGCAACCATGCCACTATCTATGTGAAGCGATGGAGTATTTGGCATATTGTGTTACATTGAGCTATGTATAAACGGTGGGGTTGGATGAGCTCCTACTGACTTGAAGGAACATAGTCACTATATAGGAAATCTGCCCCTTGAATGATTGTCATAACCGCGGAAGATTGTCAACTGCTACGCGCAGCCATCGTATAGTTTGGGACTGGATAGACTTCTGCTGCATCTTGAGTACTAAGATTTGTGTTGTTTTGAATAGCTTCTGCAGCTAGAACCAACTAACAGACCGTTTTCGTCTGTCCATGGTAAAAGACGAGCGGCTGCGAGATCGCGATTGAGTGTTCAGCTCGTTAACATGTCCAGCTCGCTTATCATTTACATCATCGAATTATTGCATCGAAAATCTAAGAGCCATCCACTCGAACTAAAACTATGGTGGTAACTGACATATATACGACCTAACCAGAACCGGCGTGATAGGGAATGTGCCGAGCCGCTGTGGAGCCAGGTTTATATCCTGATGGTCCGGACCGAGAACCGGCCCATGGTTGAACCAAACCTAACGCTTACTGCTTCCGCTTCAGTTGCTAGTGATGCTTTTGGAACGAAGCGACCCAATAAAATGATAGTGTAGGTTGCCAGCGACGCCACAAACTATGAATGGGAGGTAACACTGCATTTCCTAGTGAACAATAACCCGAACTGATGGATGTTTGGATTCAGCCTAATACCAAATCACGTGATACAAAGGACAGCTATGGCTACATTTTGATTGCTATCAGGCAGCTTGCTTCTATGGAATCACAGTGAGCAGCAACTAGCAGCGTCTAACTATTTACTTTCTCTCAATCATAGCGATATCAGCATTGTAGCAGCCGAAGAAGAAAATTACAAGATCCAGTCTGCTATGAAGCATGTTCTGGTTGGAGTGCAGATCCTCCCCTATAGTATATGTGGAAACGGAAATTTCATTTCGTAAAGATTACACAGATGCTGCCATGTATGTGCTAAGGAATAAAGCATCTTTTGCTAAGCACATTCCCAATTTAAACAGCGGGTTCAGGTGACAAAATATCAATTTTATTTGGCTGTTACCAAATAGCACATGGGCATTCTTCAGCTGCGTTTAGAACAACAACCTGTTGAGAACTTGATATATTCAATGCAATCAGTGTAACCATCTATGAAAAGATGCACTTTCTGATGCAAAAAATCACTTTCCATAAGAAGGATCTGTGACACTACGTAATATGAGTAAACCTGGGGTAACATGATTATGGAAGTTGATTGATCACATCACTTCCACAGCTCCTCAACTATTCGCTTTACAGCCACATTCCCCTTTTTCGCCTTTCTCCCCCTGGTCCCCCTTGTCCCCCTTCTGACCCTTCTCCCCCTTCTGGCAATGAGGACTCACGGGGCATCGATCAGGTCTGGTAGGTGGCGGACGGTCCGCTTCTGGAGGTGGTTCAGGGTAAAGCGGATAAGGGTAAGGAGGTTGCACAGGGTAGGGGTATCCTGGCGGCGGCGGCGGAGGTGGTGGATGATAGGGTTGTTGCACAGGATAGGGGTATCCGGGCGGCGGCGGCGGTGGTAGAGGATAGGGTTGTTGCACAGGATAAAGAGGTGGGCAGCCAGGCGGAGGAGGTGGTGGCGGCCGTACTGAATGATAAGGAGGATACAGATGCATGTTATGATGATCATGGTAGCCCATTCCGTTCAGTCCACCCCCCATATGGCCATGACCAAGACATAATGGCGCATTGGGAACAACGCTGCAGTAGAAAGCGTGCCCTGGTGGATAACAAGGAGGAGTAAGGCATCCAGAATAGATTTGCGCAGTGACACTATGGATACTGGAAATAAAAGCCCATAGTAAATAGAAATTGACCTGCATTTCTGGGGTAAAGATGAATAAATGAAGTGATAGGAAGGGTGACCGAGGAAAGAAGTTGTCTACTGAGTGAGAGCATCTTGTATACTTTACTGTTGAACTTGCATAAGCATTCAGCATGTCCGTTTTCCAAAATTCAAGCGAGTGTAACAGCCGCATTCATTCCTTATCGCCGCACATGTACCGAGGGATGCTCTATTATGGCCCGAACCTAAATTTGCTTGACTTCAGCTCAGTCTAAGAGCCTATTTCTGTATCCGTTCACTCGAATCAATGACGTTATTGCTAGTGATGCATGCAGCGAGGCTCGTGGGGATTATATAGGAAATGTTTCACCCTTAAACCGAATATGAGGTCACTTCAGTGGCTTGTGGCGCATTGATGGTCCATAGGCTCATACACTTTCGGCATAGCGATTAAAGTTAATTTGTTCAACCAAGGGGTGCATGCCACAAGCCTTGAGTCGAGGAGGCTTTTTGTCGAATGCAACTTTAACCGAGTCTGGAACCTATCTGGCTTGGCTATGTAGACCCCCTGATATGATTCCGCTCGGTCAATCCACTGAGATTTTCTAGAGTGACTTGTTCAATAGAATCGCATCCAGACTATTTGATTTGTGTAACCGCGAGTCCACGTCAGTTGTTGGGGTTTGTATCTAGTGTGGGCACTACTGGATAATATCCTTTTTTTCCCTCTGAAATATCAAAGAAAAGATTAAATAACGAACAAAATTACTGACCCGAGAACATCTGGTTATGACCATGGCGTCATATAGATAATTTTTCTGTACTTTCGCACCTAATCTTTCATCTATACAAATCAATTGGCTCCCTTACATTTCGAGACTCCAGTAGCTACCACCTCTTATTCAATATTAAAGTAGTTCAAATCATTGCGCGGGAGGCAGTGCATCGCTGGTAGGTGCTTTATTCCCGTTGCCAACTCCTCCCATTCCACTAGCACCGGGTAAATTAGCATTAGTATTCCCGGCATCGCCTTTGCCAATTCCTCCTTCAGCCAAAGGTAGCTCTGCATTTGTGTTTGCGGTATTTCCATTTGCTATACCTGCCTGTCCGACAGTGGGCAATGTACTCTCTGTTTGTGCTGAATAGCCATTTGCAATGCCTCCTTGACTGATAAAAGGCGGTAAATCCGCGTTAATTTGGGCAGCATCTCCTCGGGCAATGCCTCCGCCCGCAGGAGAAGGATTTTTGCTGTCCGTTTGATTATTCCCTTGGATTGGAGCCTGACATTGGCTTTGGCTGCATGAAGTACCGGCAGGGCCAGGAGGTCCCTGTTTTCCCTGAGGACCTGGCAGTCCCCTCTCTCCCTGAGGACCTGGCAGTCCCCGCTCTCCCTGAGGACCTGCCGGGCCTTGAGCCCCAGGATGCCCCTGTTGCCCCGGAGTCCCCTGCTCGCCCTGAAGTCCCTGAAGCCCTTGAGGCCCCGGGGAGCCTGCATTCCCTGGTGGTCCTGCATTGCCTGGTGGTCCTGCATTGCCTGGTGGTCCTGTATTGCCTGGTGGTCCTGCATTGCCTGGTGGTCCTGCATTGCCTGGTGGTCCTGTATTGCCTGGTGGTCCTGCATTGCCTGGTGGTCCTGCATTGCCTGGTGGTCCTGCATTGCCTGGTGGTCCTGTATTGCCTGGCGGTCCTGCATTGCCTGGTGGTCCTGTATTGCCTGGCGGTCCTGCATTGCCTGGTGGTCCTGCGTTGCCTGGTGGTCCCTGAGGACAAACGGGGCAAGGTTGCTGCTGATGTTGACCAAAGAATGGTGGGATCTGTTGCTGTCCCAAGCCCGGTGTAAGGATTGGGCTAGGGGTAATTTGTTGATTTGTCCAAAACTGCTGGCCCGGGGTTAACTGCTGACCCGGAATGAATTGCTGGCCCGGAATGAATTGCTGGCCAGGTTGGTGTGGAAAACCTCCCATGGCACCAATCCCGCCCATGATATTCATGCATCCACTTTGAGGGTATATGGGTGGTATAAATGAAGGTCCGAGGACTCCCATCAGCGACTGCAGTGTATTAAAGCATGGCTGCTGGCCCAATTGGGGGGAGATTTGCCCCTGGGGTAGGGATATGGGCGTGCATATAGTGTTGGGGCTGCAAATGTAGGCGACTTGTGCAGCAGAGAAGTCCAAGAGAGCTACCGTAGCATATGCTATCCAGTAGGATACAATATTCCGCATTTCGTCGTCATCGAAGTACGAATGAGTGAGGAATAATTGCCCGGGTATGAAGAGCTTAGGGAACTATCATAGAGGGATAGGGGAAAGAAAGCAGTAATTAACATGACAGTATCATACTCTACTCAATATGGATCAGGCATTTGGTATCAGGAAAGAGTCCATCTGAAAACGGGTAACATGACTGTTCGCAGTCAATCAAGCCCAGGACATGTTAACATGCTTCCGGCACGGGAAAGCCGCATACCATAACAAATAAGGCAGTATATTGCATAACGGGACAGACTAAGGTGGCTTTTGCCCAATGTAAGGGGGTAACAATGTAGGAATGAAAGAGGCGGCCCGAAAAGTGCAATGTCACTTCAGATCAAAGTCCCCATTTCGGACGGCAGTCCTGACACTAGGTTGTAACCCATCCCGCCTTTTCTCAAGCACTCTTTTGAACCACATAACCATATTTATCCTGGATAGGAAGCGCAGGTAATTGCATGCTTGCCTCGTTCACTGGATTAAAAAATAACTTGCCGGTATAATTCCCGTAGTTCCGGACGGGCTCTAAATTAGCCGGCCCAACGCCATGTGGAAATATGAAGATTTGAGGATGAGGGCCTAAGTCAAGTCAGCCATAGCTATTTGAATCGAATGCGGAACAAAGTTTGAAAAAGCCAACTTACGCGGGACACAGCCCTGACGGCTCTGATTGTAGTAGGCGGCATAATCAGTGATGACCTGTCGAAAATATTCATCCGCTGTGAAGGCATTATCGAACAGCATGGTCCATTTAGGTCGCACAACTTGCTCGACACTCTGCATGCCATAGGCGTGGAAAGCATTAAGCCGACCCATAATCCGATCTTTCTCTGCTTTCTCATGTGCTTCCTGTGCATCTTGCAACATCTCCTTCTTGATATTTTCTTTCTCGGCTTCGGGTGTGGTGCCTTTCTCCTTCGCCTTTTTCTGGGCGAGAAGAGTGATTTTAGCGTCATCTTGCTTCCCACCGAGACCGAGGAGTTGCTGTTGGGTAGCCGCGGTCAATCCTTGAAGCAATCAAACATTACTTCCTTGTTATTTAACACACCTTGTTGTTTTTCCAGTCAATATTGAGGATATTGCTGAGATCCGTGAACCTCAGACCCCCAAGCAGGCCACCTGCCCCAGTCAGCTGACCTAAGAGGTCGCCGCCAGCACCACCTCCAAGCGCATCTGTAACAGCACCAGCGGGGTTTCCACCTAGGGGGCCCTGATTTGGTACTTGGTGAAAATCAATACTTCTAGATCCTAATCACTGATTGAGCATCTCAGTGCTAGAGTGCTCACCTGCATCGCCGCCTGGCTTGCTATCAAATACACCTGAGGCCGCGTCAGAGACCCCGGCATTGACCGTTATCGGTAGAATTGACGCAAGAATCCCAAGGGTCCCGAATCTGAGAATAGAATGAACCAGCATTGTGGCTAACGCGACAGCCTAATGGCGTGTCAGACTGATGTCGGTGAAGTTTCCTATCATATACCAGTGCTTTCAGGGCTCTTATTGAGAACTAGTTCGAAATGTAGAAAAGGAAAGACCATGATCATGAATTGTAGTATTGTCTGCAATTATAATAGGAATACCATCACTTGCATTTTGCCTTCCATCAGGAACTATGAATCATAGACTGTACGTCAAGAGAAGCCTCTGGGGAAGTCAGCGGGTCGCTGAATGGCATATCTTTGTGGACATACGACCCAATGGCCAGTTCAAGTCTCTTGAGCTTGTCATAGAAGACCCACTGACTCCGTAAGGAACATCAACTGCGTACATTTCGGTTACCTTGAATGTGGAGTAAACTTAATTAGCCATAGAGGCTATTCGAGTGATTGGCGAGGGTTTTCCTTGGATTGGATGCCGGGGCTTGTGGCAGCCCGCAGTTCCGACGGGGCCCTGCGCACATCGAACCGCTGCATCCCAGTGTAGAACTCCCCCTCCATGTCTTTCAGCTCAGCCTGACGCATGATCCACATGCTGCGATTGACGATGCCTTACAGGAGGCACCTGCGTCTGATCTTGTACCAACTCTGATGGACCTCGAAGACAAGGGCGTCGAAATAGCCATGGTATCCCCAGGAAAGCCGCATCGTCCGGCGACAGCTGTTGCGCTGCATTTTGTGCCTGCCGCTGCGCGGAGTAAAATTTGATCGCCTTTAGGGACCGGAGATCCCATGCAAAACGCACTTGCAAGGACCTGGCCTCTTTGGAGTAGGCCGCGCAGCTGCTGACTGCCTTTGATTATTGCATGAGCGCCCTCCAAAACATTCGATGGTGCTCGAGAGAGACGGCGAGTCTGCCAGAGCCGAGATGTTGCGATCAAGGCACTACAAAGAATTGGGCAGGTCCAGTCGCATCAACAGCTTGGCCGAAAAAATGGCACCGCCCATCATGCCATACAAAAAGGCGAGTGGGAGGCGGCCAAAGCGACCTTGTTGGATGTCAAGCGAGAGGCCGACACCATCGTCGAAAGGGTGCGCGGACGCGCAAATTCCGTGGGCACAACCAGTATTGCGCTGCGCACGAGGGTTGCCCTAGATTTAATTTGTCGAAAACAGGGACTAGAGAAGGCGAAGGCCAAAAGAGAGGTGGAGATTGCGCAGCCCGATTCGGAGACCCTCAAGACGTGATAACTTCTAAGAACCAATATCGTTATCAGTAATAAGCTATCACGCACATGTTGCCTACAATGTGCCATTTGTCGAAATCAAATCTTGGAATGGGGCCGGGGCGGATATCCATCCAAACTTTTGGGTCCTGATTTGATATACTTGACTTTATCTAGAATTTACTCCTTTGGCCAGATGACATTCAAACACCGTTAAGATTAGCACGACATCGTAAAACTATCGGTACAAATTATATTACAAGATATCTAAAAGCCATGTTCCTTGAACTCTCGTTCTGTCCATTGCCACAATTCCTCCGTTTTGTCCATGTCACTCTCGATGCCCGTTCTTTTCGCTTCCTTGAAAAAAGGGATATAGTACGCTCCGTTCTTCACTTCAGCCGAATCAGCGGTACTTGCCCATAGCTGATTGAGTGTGCCAGTAGGAATATCCACGGAAGCTACTGAGCTGAACAGACGAAAAATGAAAGAGAGAACTGGGTTGGCTGCCATTCCACCTCCAATATTCGTCCTGACAAGCCCCGGGTGTAGAGAAACCGACTTAATACTGGGAAACTTCTTGGCGCAAGACCTCGCGAAGTATATGTTGGCGAGTTTGGAGTGACCATAACGGGCGACAGTGCTGATCTCGGTGAGCGGTGTCTTCACCTGCTTTAGAAGTATACCGACTTTGGGAGCGTTTCGGTATAGCTCAGAGCTAATGTTCACAATACGAACATCGGCCCCGGTATCAGCAGTCTTGGTGAGGATCGGCAGAAGTAGTCGAGTCAGCAGTGCCGAACCCATGTAATTTGTGCCAAATTGGACCTCGTAACCATCCTCGGTCAAGCCAGGCGGAGCAGCAAAGATACCGGCGTTGTTGATAAGAATATCGAGACGGTCGTTTGTGGACAGGAAAGTTTCAGCCGCGCGTTTGATGGAGGTGAAAGACGCAAGGTCTATGTCCAGAAACACGATCTCAGCGGAAGGAACTTCTCGTTTGATATCAAGAATTGCTTCTTCTGCTTTCTTGACGCTGCGAGCGCCCATGTATATCTTTGTGGGGCTGTGCGCCGCCAATTGCTTTATGGTTTCTTTTCCGAGACCATTGTTGCCCCCAGTCACCAGAATGACCCGCCCAGAAAGGCTTGAAATATCCTTTCCAGGGTCAAAAGAGTGGCTCTTGCTGAAAAGAAAAGACATTTTCTTTGTGTAGAACAATAGATGCTGAATTTCCGATGTCTACCGTGAAGTTATACTATCATTTTGGTGATGAATCATCATTCCGAGCCTCGGCTCAGACCCGGGGTGACTATTAATCATGCCCGATTATATACCAGTCGCGACACCACAATTGACCGCCGGCCTTTTGAATCGTCCCGACTCTTCAATTACCTTTTCAAGTCAACCTTATGTACAATTATTAGATAGCCATTTAGGTTCTCTTATTGTTTATTAATGTCTTGCTTTGCCGTACCTTACACAGCGCCGCAGTTAATATGAGAGCTGTTGTGGCAAACCGATATCTTGCGAAGCAAATTCTCAACTTCGCTTGCTCCTCCTCATTCGGTCAATGTGCAAGAATCGTCGATATCCCAACTCCCCAAATTACCGATAGTGAGATACTGGTCTGAGTGTGTGCCGTTGCTCTCAACCCGGTCGACAACAAAAACATCGATTTCCGCTCTCCGAACAAGAGTATTATCGGCTGAGACCGTCGCTTCTGCGATATTTCCATATACATTCATTGGGACGCTGACTTTAGGCTTAGGATAACTACCCCGAATGGAGGGTTCAAATTATTGAAAAAGTCAATCCTGCAATTTTAAATTATTACTCTCTAGTTGCCGAGCAGGTGCAAACAACGGCGAAATCGCAACACGTCCGGAGAAATGCCTTTTAAAGTCCACTCTCTCTTGGCAAAAAGCTTCATCTCTCCAACGCAGACGACGATATTCAGAGGTGATGGTGGGCAACAATTGCCGGTCTTCGAATGCAACAAACGTTCGAGTATGAGAAAAGGCCATAGAAGAATTAGCTCTGCTCTGGCCAACAAAAGCTCCGGTCATCGCCAGCGCATTCCTTTTTCTACTTTTCGTGCTCAATTCTCAACCATTTCAGTCAAAGACCGACTACAGTTCTTGTCCTGGCTGTTTGGGGGTGCTTTATCTCTGCGCTTCTGCGCCTAGGAGCGTCAATGCCCCTTCTCCGTCGGGATGTCTCAAGCCAATCTGATGACATTACTTACGACTGTGATCACACGAGCTCGAGCACCGCAGTGGTTGATGCGCAGCATATTTCTTCGAGAAATGGAATGCCGTGGTCTGTTGAGGAAGATCGCCTTTTGATGAAACTAAGGGACGTGCAAAACCTCGCTTGGGCGGAGGTGGTCAGGCAATTTTCACGAAAAATCTCCGGATGGAGCAAGGGATCAATCCTAGTCTATTCATGTTATCTTTATGCACCAACTTGAGAATTGACATTGGCATCTCAATCAAGCAATATTGGAACTATCTTTTCATGGGCATGAATCGATGCGATCCGGATCGGGTAATCATGGTATTCGCAACATGCAGGATGCAAGCTCGTTACGACTCATCACTAAAATATGGACACCACGCAATGACCAATTGTGAATCAACTGGATCGTTCTTGTTAACACCTCCCTTTTTCTTGTCTCGGGGGCTTTCATATAGAGCATCGAGTCGAGTATAGCTGAATTTTTACCGGCCAAGGGAGCGCTGAAGAAAGTCAAGTAAACATACACCGGAGGGGTACCCAAGTGGCATAATGCACCTCGATCGACTCCTGGCTATGGAGCAAGTAGAGTGATAGACCACGACATGTTGATAGTAATTGTTACATATACAGTTATATTCCAGCTCCTCTTCACCTACTCATTGGCTTTAGTTCTTTAGTATCCAACTATCCGAGGTCGACGAAAAAACAACATTCTATCTATATCAACCATCAAGCCTATTCATTACCGTAGCCGACGGCGCAAAGAAAATATTCCCGGTCAACGGCCTCGAAAAATCCAACAGCCGGTCATGCAACCCAGACGGATGCCCCATGGACATCCGCTCGAACATCTTCTCAATGACCCACAGCCGCCTGGCACACCCAATGAAGTAGGTCCCAAACTCTCCATTCGCTGGCGGTCCAATGGGCATATTATCGCGTAGAATATCATGTTCGTCGCCGGTTTCATCCTCAATCGTGCTCAGCGTCTTATCCGAGTCCTGCTTCCCGTCCTCGGCATCGTCAAGCTCAATGTTATCGGGCTTTGTCCGCCCAATGATCTTCTCTTGTTGTTCCGATGGTAGTGACTTCCAACTGGCCAGTTCATGGACTTATTTCTGTACAACGACGTAGCTGCCCCCCTGGGCATGTGGATCGTCCTCCCTCGCGACAAGGACAAAGTATGGAACGTCCAGGCCCACGGGGTTCGCGGTGCCGTCAACAAAACCGAGGAGATCGCGGGTGTCAAAGTAGCGGAACCCAACTGTTTGGTCGACGAGCTGCACAGAGTCACCGAGGCGGTCCATGAGCTGATGCTCGAACTCGAAACAGATATCGCGGCGCTCGGAGCGGATGTGAAAGAGGAGATCTCCCGGGGTGGAGACGGCGGTGTTTGACACCCTTGACTTCGCGGAAGGGGTGGAGTTCATAATTATCGAGACCCCATACGATAGAGCGGGACCTGTACCGCCCAAACATGGAATTTGGCTTTCGAAGCTTGTCATAGCATCTTTACTCCGAGCTCCAAGCTGGCCCAGTGGAACGGACCTCTTGTTGGCTGATCGGCAAGCTCTCGGCCATATGCCAGATACGTCTTCTGATTGGCCAATTAGTATTACCGGATTCAGAAAAGCGGATCAAGAACTCCTTGCATCAATTCGTTGTCGCAGTTCCATTTGCACCGCGGTGGAAGAAAAATATATTGGGAGGTATATAGTGTTTGATGACGAGTGCTCAGCATCATCTAGGCGAGCTTTAATAAACCCAAGGTATCATTTAAGTGCAGAACCCAATACCATATACCGATCTTTCATCAAACATGGTCAAGAAGCCTTAAGGCTCGTTACTCCGTCATTCATTCAATCCTCTATCCCTAAACGTTAACCACAAAGTCTATGTTAGACACTTAGCAGCCTACCAAGCACAAGCACTTAAGGAGTCTTTCTGTGAGAGATCCTTAACGATCACCACAAGCATGAAAACGAAGGGCAGCCCGCCAAGAACAAGCCTTAGAACGACGGGACAGGCTTTGTTCTGATATAGAGAAAGATGAGGCAGACACCAAGCAACACACCAAAGAGGATGAGCAGCTCGAAGAAGAGGATTAGACCTATGGAGGATTAATGTAATTATCTTGCCTTCGCTCAGCGCTGCTTCTTTTCTTATGAGTATGCCTCCACGGACAGCCAGGGAATATTATTAGGAGATTTTGCTATCAACAGGATTGGATATTATCAAGTCTTCATTGGGTCCTGAAAATACAGGCCAGAATGTGATAGGCGGGTGTAGTCGGTGGTACAACTGTCTCCCCAATTCATGTTACGAGTCAGTTACCAAAATTGAGAAGGTTAGACGCCTCGGCGTCGGTTAAGCGCATTGCGAATCTGTTGAAGAGCTGTTAGGTGAATTTCATTGAGATAGTGAAAAGTCTTCGCCAGTACTCACCATTTTCAGGTTTCTCTATGCAACCTTGCCCAGCATACCTGCCCGGTGGGAAATTGTACTCGTCGAACACATCCTCCTTGGCGGCCATGAGGGGTCCCCATTTCACCTGAACTTCCCTGATGTGCCGCTTGAGACGTGTCAAAGCATTGGAACGTGGTGGATCATGGATGACTCCGAGGTCTTTGATATAGGCAGTTGTTGTTTTACTCATTCTGGTGTGAGAACGGGGCTAGAGAGATGGTGAGGTAGGAAACGTGGATGTGTATGAATTCGGCTTCTCGACTTGTTTTGCGACTTTTACAGCGAGCTCCCGATTTTTAATTTATATTCCAAATGATGGCAAATTGCTAGAATCTTTTAGGGCGCACATGTGGGGTAAAAGAACAACCCCTCAGCCGAGCCACAGCCGAAACATCTCCGCTTATATGACTACTTTCGTCATCTTCCTTAATTAGGGTATGTTGAATTTAGAATAGGACTGAATAGAGAAAGGCTGCATACTCTGGGCATAGTGAATAGCCCTTCCTAACCAATCCCTCTTAGCAACCAATGGGATAGTGTTACATCCACGATGACAGCAAAAGGTGGTTGCTGTTCTAACCGGGGTTGACCTAGAAGCTATAGGTTTGATATGATATCACAGGTTTATTCCACAAAAACCCCTTATGGAATCAATCTAATTACCTACGGTGCGGCTTACTTGTCTAGCAATACGGGTAAGTCCTGCTGATAATGAGAGGCTTGTACATTTTCCTCCCCGGCCATGGACTTACCATATTCGGTAACACTAGAATCTACATTAGGTATAACGTACGCCATAATTTATCTCATGCGGGTCCGTAGCAATACACGTGCAAAAAGACCAATAGATAATATGAAAATCCAGTTTTTTGAATGTAAAGGAGTTCTTTTCAGAGAAGCCCCTTCGCCTTCTCGGTTACAAGGTAGATTTGATGCCACCGGTTACAATATATAGCACAACCTACTATGAATTATCAATACGTGCGAAGGGTTTAACATACGAGGATGAGATGTAGTTATTCCTAAACCCCTGTCGCTATGGTGAAATTTGATTTGTATGCAGTGCTTTGACTTTGCACGTGCCCCATTTTAAATGAGAGGGTTGTTGACTAATTGTAACTTCATACCATCTCATTCACCTTCTCAGTTGAGACTTTGTGGTTGTTCTGTTACGTCTCCACACATCAGCCAAGTCTGGAAGTGATTCTCAATGGAAAGCTCTCCGTGGCCATTGCAATTCAACTATAACAAACAATATTCATCCTGAAACATTCAAAGTAGTGCACATCCAAGATAGAGCAACAAAATGATGGGAATCAGAAATAGGAACTAGGAAGCACCCATAGTCAAAGCGAGTGGTAGGAACTGACGTGTGAAGGATGGTGCCCTCCCTAACCCCGAGACCGGAGACCCCAATTTGAATTTACAGTTTACTGGAGACAAAGTACGGAATGTTTTTTGCCTCATAGAGATCCTTGTGCTCGGATTTGATGATATCGGCGCCCTAGAGGATACGTTAGTTTTCTCGTAGGATTGAACAGGGATGCTACGCACCTTCTCGCCAATCATGTACACCGAGTTCTGGATACGGCAGTCAGGAATAACGGGGATAACGGAAGCATCGGCGATCCTGAGATTGCGTACTCCATGTACTCGGAGTTTCGAGTCCACAACACCCTGGTGGATGCTCTTCGAGAGGCGTGCCGTACCACAGGGATCTATGATGAACATTAGCGTTGCCAGAAGTGTTGTTAAGGACGATCTTACGGAAACCGGTCTGGCTTCGATCCAGAACAGCCTTGTCCATTTCAGCGTCGGAGTGAAGAGGCATTTTCCAAGGATATTCTTTGACCACGATGTCCTTGAATCCAGCACCGTTGGTCAAAACATCGTATGTCCAGCGCACACCCTCGCGCATAGCCAGAATGTCTAGGTCATTGGCAAAGAAGTTGAGGTTGATATTGGGCTGGACCTGAGCGTTCGAGCTGTTCAAAGTAACCTCACCCTCGGAGAGGGGCCGCAGTAGGTCTACAATCACGGTTATGTAGCTACCTTGCTCTGGCATTGGGAAGTGCCACTGGAAAGCAGTACTGAACAGGCCAACAAAGTCAAGCTCAAAGTGGGGCTGGCCCGCCGGTCCAAATGGATCTAGTCCACCATTCGCAGCCTTAGCCTCGCGGTAGGCTGGATACTTCTCCAGTCGTTCATCAATACGGGGGAATCCTACTAGTTCCAAGAATCCGGAGCTAGCAGGGCCCGTTTTGTCACGCTGGTACGTAGCCAATGCTTTGTCATTGAGAGGACCGGGGCGGAGGATATGATCATCTAGGCCATAACCATCCTTGATCTGGAGCACAAACGGCACGATCGGGTGGTCTAGAAGATGTTGACCAACGTGAGGGGAGTCTACCACCAGGTTGATTCCGTGCTTAGCCAATTCCGCGGCTGGGCCAATACCGCTTAGCATCAGAAGCTTAGGCGTCTCAAACACACCTTGAGAAACAATCACCTCGCGGCTAGCATACACACTAATCTCGGTAGCTTCGCTGATCACAGTGACACCAGAACAGATGCGTGTTATCGGATCAATGATCAAGTGCTTAGACTGGACGCCGTAGAGAATCGTCACGTTCGGCTTATTTCTCAGGTATAGATAGCTACCCTGGCGTTCGCCCCGGTGAATAGTATCCACACAATGCGTGAGGCCTTTCATTTCACCAGAGAAGATGTCCTCGGTCAGAGGCTGGCCCTTAGAGACCCACGCTTGGGTAAGCGCATCACGAAATGGCTGCATCTCCGGAACCAAGTCCGCGTGGGAGATTTGAACAGGACCTCCAGTTCCAATCTTACTGAGTTCCGCTGGATACAGCTTCTCATCGTCGTGATAAGTGGCACACTTGCGCAGGTACTCCACGCAGCTGTCCCAGTTCCAGTCCCGGCCGCCAAAGTCCTCCCAGTCGTCAAAGGTAGGTTTCGAACCAGGGATCCAGGTAAAGTAGTTGGCACACGTACTTCCACCAAGGGCCTTTCCGCGGGTGTTAGGCTTTTCAATGCGCTCGTAGTCGTCACGCTTGATCATAGTCGTCTTGTAGGCCCAGTCATATTTGCTGCCACGGAGGGTGAATGCTTTGGACGGCGTGGTGATCTGGTCGATTTGGTCTGGGTTTGGAATGCCAGCTTCAACAACTAGGATCCGGACGTTGGAGTTTTCCGCGAGACGACCAGCAATGGCATTGCCAGCCGTGCCACCACCGACGACGATAAAGTCGTACTCAGAGCCGTTGGACACGGTTGCCATGATTGGGATTGGTCTTTGTGGTAAGGCAAATTGAGCTTTGTTCAATGTCTGAAAGACGTGATATGAAGAGCAGAAGTTGACGAAGCAAACCGTCGGTTTTATACATTCAATCCTTTACCTTTGCCGAATTCCGAGCGACAACATGTTGAGGTCAAGCTCTCACACTGGTAGTACTACTCGATATGGTTAGTTAGTTCGTAGCTCCGCATAGGCGCACTTCGCGGAAGGGAGCCCATAAACCCTTCGTTGTCACTGGGACAGGCACCAGACTGGACTGTTGTAGTGGATGTTTTTGACCCCTCATGAGGGGAACGGGATCTCCGCACGAATCTGTAAGCATGGTATTGGCCCACGGCCACAGTCACTTTTAACGTGCGCAGCGCGGGTGTAATGCCGAGCCCGGCAAAGTCTCGGTGGTAAATCGGCTTACTATATCCATGAATCTCGGCCCGAATTTAAGGTTTCATCCGCTTACGCTTACTTTGTATCTGTTTCTAACGTTATACGCTCCCCCGTTGTCGTCGCCTAATCTGGATTTTCGCCATTTTAAATTTCATGCGTTCTACCCCTCACGTAATAGTATATCCAAGTGCCGCTAGGTAATTGTAGGCCTTCGTCATCGGAATTACCTTATACGGTGTTGGGTTATGAATTAATAAAGGCTACCCCGTCCCCCGGAGAGAAAGTATCTACATCACGCGCATTTGGCACGCTGAAACCAGAATTCGTCATGCCAAACCCTAGCTTTACGTTGGCAGAAGGTACGATATTTCAATTTTCAACAGCATGCCCTCCTGCTAACATCCTGCAAGGCCAGCCAGTTGCAAACCCATCTGTCAGTACTACGTTGCCGACTCTTGGCAGCGGAGGCATCACGACCTTGGGCGACACACTCCTCATCGAAACTCTTTCGCATTTTAACCGCGAGCGGATTCCCGAAAGGTCAGCGGTCATTCTACCCGCTTTATGAAAGTAGAGCTAACAGTGAGTAGAGTGGTCCATGCCAAAGCTGCAGGTGCTTGGGGCGAGTTCGAGGTCACCAATGACATATCTTCCCTTACATCGGCCAAGTTCCTCAATGGCGTGGGTAAGAAAACTCCGGTGCTGTTCCGTCTTAGCACCACTGGCGGTGAAAAGGGCAGTGCAGACACCGTCCGCGATGTTCGCGGCTTTTCGGTCAAGTTCTTCACAGAGGAAGGCAATCACGACATTGTTGGGAACCACGTTGTAAGTCTACCTTCATTGTCCCCTGGGCCTCTTGTTCTGATGTTCATGCAGCCGGTGTTTTTTGTGCGTGATCCGATAAGGTTTCCATCCCTCAATAGAAGTCACAAAAGGCATCCTGCCACCAACCGGCCGGATTGGACTATGGTGAGTGCTATTTAAGGTGTTATTTTGCCGATGAAGCTAACCCTTCAGTTTTGGGACTTCCATGTGAACCAGCCAGAGAGCGTTCACGCTTTGATGCACCTGTTTGGCTCTCGCGGTATCCCTGATTCCATCCGTCGGGTGACAGGTTTCGGTGTGCATACTTTTAAGATGGTAGCAGCCGATGGCAGGTTCCGCTACTGCAAGTTCCATTTCCGGCCAACTCAGAGCATTACCCATTTCTCTCAGCAGCAGGCCACTCGCATGGCGGGGGCAAACGCAGATTTCCATACCCAGGACCTGTGGGATGCCATCTCCCGTGGACAGTTTCCAGCGTGGAAGCTATACGTGCAGGTCATGGAGCCCGAGCAAGCTGAGACCTACGGTCGTGCTCTTTTTGATATCACGAAAGTCTGGCCCCACAAGGATTTTCCTTTGACTGAAGTGGGTCAGATGACTCTGAACAAGAATGTATGGATGCACCGTATAGGAACAAAGAGCACATGCTGATGAAAATCCCAGCCGGATAATTATTTTGCCGAGATCGAACAAGCGGCATTCTCGCCTTCCAACATGGTACCTGGAATTGCCATGACACCAGATCCTAGTAAGTGCACACTAGGAATTCTTTAGCATACGACTCAGTCCTAACTCGCCCTGTCTATAGTGTTGCAGGCGCGCATGTTTGCCTATCCTGACGCTCAACGATACCGCTTGGGGGTGAACTACGCGCAACTCCCCCCAAACCGCGCAATTTGCCCCGTCTACGCACCGTTTGAGCGTGATGGCATGGGAACCGTGACTCGAAACTATGGCGGTGACCCCAACTATGTGCGCAGTACGCTGAGCCCAGGCGTGCCCAGCCAGGTGGTTTCCGACGTGCGTCACACCGAGCGCATTGGACACAATGCTATCCTCGGCCAAAATGAGATTTTGGTTGACGATGAGGACTACGTCCAGCCACGAGAGCTATGGAACAGGGTCTTCGATGAGACTGAGAAAATGCAGTGGGTGGCGAATGTGTCGGAGACCTTGGTGGACGTGCCTGCACAGCTGAAGGAGGCGGTCATGGCGATGTTCAGCGAGGTTGACCCCCGTATTGGCCACTTGATAGGAGCTAAGACTAAGAGTAGCCCGCACCTTTGAACCCTTTGGCTTGGTTTTTTTTTTTTTTTTGTTTTTGTGCGTCGTAAAATGAAAGAAGAATCGAAGAAGAATCGAAGAAGCTTATTGTGAATCCCAAGTTGCCTTTAAAGACACCTCGCTATCAGCGCACGTGCATTTCGCTAACGGACAAATGAAATTCGGAGGCGGCACATCACAATAACGACATTGATAAACGCGGCACAGCTTGAACTAGAAATTTCATATTTGGATAAGAAACCCTCTTTCGGCAGACCGGACTCCCACCGCAGCGTGTCTCAAACCTGTATGCGAAGGTCAACTTGGCCGTAGCCATGTTCCTCACGATTCGAATCGTATAAACTCTAGGAAGATTGAATCCCTCAAGGAAAGTTCGGCGGTTGAACTGGGAATAGAAGGACATTTTCGCCACCCAGCCTTCACCACGAAACTATATGGTCATTGGTTGCATAGTAATACATGTATCGGTTTGATATAATTTCCTCAATACGCTGCTCACAAGTGTGATGTCTACCACTTTTAATGCGGTAAGGTGTAAATGATGCAGGAGGAGGTCTTCGACTTTTCGCGAACCCCGCGTACTTCCATACTCTTCTTAATTTGTCCCACAATTTCTTGGGGCAAAGGCAAGAAACAGTTTTCAACCAGGTCCTTATAGAGATTTGACGATGATGACCTACCAAAGCATTTGTCTGTTGGTTAAGTCCTTTAGCATTTGAACATCGTTCCCTTTTTTATTTTTTTATTTATTCAATGTTTCAGATATCCTGTAGAATAAATGTAATACGCCCCTACAATAGTAGTTATCAATGTTGTCCTAAATATGCCATACAAAGTGTTCTAATTTTCCCGAGGACATAGTAGGGCTTACCATCTACAAATGAGTTGTCACAAGAATAAAGTGAACGGTGCAAATTTGGAGTGGAAGTAACCGTCATGAGATTGACCCGAAATCTAGGTCCAGGCAAAAGGCATACTATCTCCTCTTCACTTATCCAAGGGTTGCTGCATTGAAAAAAATATACTACGGCCTGTCCAGCTTTTCAGTGATACGATAATGCTGCCAATCAAGTCTGTTCTCTAGATGAAGCGCCAGATATATGAAGTAACCCTTTCCACCTACGAAGAAAAGCAGCTCGCGACACGCGAGTGTCGTTCTCGCCCATGGAACCGGTATGGGCCGTTGGCGTGGCGATGGAAGCTGCCGAGCTTAGATTGTAAAACGTCTGCCGACATAGTGGGCAGCTTGCATCACGTTTGCACATCCATTTGTCGATACATGGCTGGTGGAAGAGGTGTTTGCATGGCAATTGCCGAAAGATCGACATGGAACTGAATTCCTCGAAGCACAGACTGCAGGTTTCTGAGATATAGCAAATCAGATGATATCAGTACTGGGTAAAGAACAACTACAGCATGTCTCGCGGTAGTCCTACCATCACTTGAGTCCTTAAAGCCCACGTGGCAGGGCATTGTAGCTAGCTCCCCGCTTCTCATCGGTCGAAGCGCTCCTTGCATAAGGGATGATGAGACCGAATACGCGTCGGGCATCATGTGAGATGCTAATAACGTTGGGTGTAAAAAGCGACGTATCGGCTGCTGAAGTAATGGCCAAAATATCAATTGGCATAAGATGGAGATGGAGACAAAAAAGGCGAGTGCACTCCAAGCCCTCCGGGTTTATAGAAGTATTTCCTTCATTACCTAACCATCCAATAAAGACATAGGTCCCGAATCCTAACTGGGTTGTTGTTGATGACTTTACTTTTTTTTAATTTCTTCTCCAAAAAGCCAGGCGCCACCGCGGGCGGTTATTCGGTAATCGATTGGCGAAACAGCATTACCAGAAAAGGTCAAGTCGCTCTGAAAACCCCTCATGCGGAGTGCAGATGTTGCTCTTCCACCCGACTAGCATCATGAAGGCAAACACAGTTATTGACATGCCAATTGTCAAGTCTGGTCACTTCAAGCCCATCAACATCGTGGCGAGGTTCTGTACCAACTTGATGACTCATCAATCAGGCGACAGGCGGAATTTAGGTATTAGAGCAAGTTGGTCTTGTCTTTGGGTTTAGGATTTTCTCTCTACAGCGGCAATCAAAGAGAGATTCCTGGTAAAATCTGGCGCGCCAAAATCAGGACACAAGGGGCTGTTCAAAGTAGACACCCAGACAAACCCGTGTTTAAGTCCACGGACTGGTTCGACGGCAAAGCGAAGAGCCAACGAACAATCTTTCGCACCGATTAGAAACCCGCCCCCCACCCCCAAAAAATTATTCAAAGCGGCCACAATTTGGCCTGTCAGGAGCATGTGTTTAAGAATTTGACCTGTTTCAAACCCTTTTTCAGTCAATATGTCCCACCTTACCAGCTCCCAAGAACCTCGCTGCAACATGAGTGACACAACGTGCAACGGTATAAAAGGCCTCAACCTCATCCACAAGGCATCGCCCAATCCTACTATGGTCCTCTAGTCTTTGAAGAAACGGTTGGAAGACATTCAGAAAAAATGGGGCCCATATATGCAAACTAGACAGCATTGGGACGACGAATACAGGTTTTTTTCTGGCGGATGTGTTGCCCAGGATGACGGAGATAGACCCCAGCAGTAGTGAGTGATTGATAAGCCATACTAATTCTGGATCTCCTATCTAACAGAATTCTAGAATTGCAGTTCTATGGGACATTGTAGCTATCGTGGCTTGTTACATTGTCCTGCTTGCAACCTTATCTGTTACGCTTTTGTAATCCACTAAACTTGTTTCCAAGAGCTAGTGGCTTGTTCTCTTACTAAAAAACGCCATTATTTGTAGATAGAGCCTTCGGATTGAGAATATTCCTATTCTGAGTTCGAGGGGCCTGGACTGTGAGAAATCCGACAATTGAACGTCCTCCTAAGCGTATACAGTTCTCAGTATAGCCCAGTTGAGTTTAACCAAGAAATATAGGTACCTAGCAGATCAACGTGAGTTCCGGTCACGTAGATGCAAATAGCAAGCTGCCACATGAGTAGGTTCATATGTGCCACTCTGCCCACAATGACTCAGCCCCCGGCGGCGGACGGAGGGACAAGGGAAAAGAAAGAGAATTACAATTGAGTACAACTAAGTAAGTTTCTACAATGGGTGATATCAAGCGTATATAGCACGCCGGAACACAAAACCGCCTTGGCGAGCACGGCTTTGGCATTGGGCATTAGTTTAAAGCTAGTCAGTTGCCACTCTCTGTCAGTAATACATTGTTCCTCCTGTTAGCGGGGCACAGCATGATCCTAAGTGGCATGCTCTTCGTTTAGACGCCTTCGGACTTTAACTGCGAGCGTGATCCCAGAAGTCCAAGAGCCACCACATCTTTGTAGTGCTAACGCAGAGTATACCAGGTAGAATCGTTCATGCCATAAGTGCAGGTGGTTAGGGCAAATTATAGGACCCACCTCGCTCATACTTTTGTCTCCGAAATAGAATAATCATTGTACTTCATGTTCCCCTCACGCGGGGTTGACGGAGTTCCTATTACACTTACGCTCGACAGGAAGAATTCTAATTTTGTTGGAATCGATGGTGAGAGACATATTGACGAATCACTATATGGCATATTGGTTAAGATTCTTCATCTGTTTAGACGAAGCTCTTAATTGCAGCTCAGTAATTGAACATAGTTTCTTTCTTTACTCTCAACAACCCAAATGCGGACCACGAACTTTCACTGCCTCAGAGCATACTATAAGCGAAAGACATACAGAAGCATTTGCAAAACGAAGAACACAGAATACTTCTCGCCTCAATTACTATAACTTTATGCAATATTGCAGCAACGTTCCATCGCATGCACTAACAAGGTGCTATACACTGTCGTCGATTTCAGTAGTAACAATGAGATTCATCTTCTCCGAGGCTCTGGAGCTACGGTCTTTCGCCACTGAAACCACACACCAATCAAGCTGCTTAGTGTACCAGCTATACCAACAAATCCGTCATCAAGGTTAGCGAGTCCGAGCGCCGAAATTGGTATGGTCATGTCGCACAGGCTCGAGATTAGTTGAGCAGAAGTGGTAGATCGTTCCCTTTGGGAAAAACAAAAAGAGGTCAGCATGTACATTCGAAACAAGAACTGCCCGGCATGTGAAACGAACCTGTGGATTCTTTTCGCTTCTATGGCTCCCTCGCCTACTTTGCGGTCGGCTTTCTGCTCTTTTTGATAGAGTCTACATAGCGAATAGATACCAGCCATAGCACTGCAAATCAACCCTGCCATCCAAGCACGGTAGCCAGACCTTTGTAAGCTCTTGGTGATGGCCGGCTTTCGAACACCAATGCTATCAATGAGAACTAACGTGTCGAGGGCAAGGTAAACGCCATAGCCTAGGTGGTGGCCTGTGGTTAGGTAGCGGAGCACGGGATCGATAGGCCCCTTTTTGTTCAAAGTACTAGAAGCGGCGTTGAACTTTTCGATGAAATTGCCGATTCGCAAAATCTTGCGTGTTATTTCGAACTGCTTCTTTATTACGTTGATGGGGTCAACGGCGGATTGTGGGTAATTGGCACGCCGAAGATACCAGCCGTAGAAGCGCGAAAAGTATTGCAGGGTACGTAGGGACTTGTCACGACCCGCTGAGGACTTGTCAGGTTTTCATTCAATACATTGCTCGCTAGATCGGGGCGTTTTGTGTACAGAATAGGCGCTCAGTGAAATGCAACAAGGCTCTTCACTTACCAGTAGTTGCAAGAAAGCTCAGAAGTCGCCCCAAAGTGGAATGGTTGAGCGGCGTAGCTGCGGCCATTTTTCCGTTCTAGATGAACCTTTCGTAGAAGCCTCCTCTTGCTTGGAATGCCAAAGCCGCTTGGGAGCATAAATTCCTAGAAGGAGCTACAAAAGGTTTTCTCGTTCGTAGGTGGTTAGTAACGAAAAGGAGAAGACGCTGGAAGTTATAGGACAGTAAGGTCTAGGTGATGATACAAAGGTCGGTAATTACTCGGCGCCGAGTGAAACCCGAGTCATGTATAAGCAGGCGATTCTGGATATGATGTCTCGCCGCTATATAGCTCGTCCTAGCATTTGCCGTCGTTTCCGAGCCTAGGATCAATTTTAATTTTGAATGTTTCCAAGTATGACAAATTTTGATAATATTGGGATCTGAAATAAAAGAAAACCAAGTGGTTACCTAGGAACATCATACGCTTCTACACCGACGCGTGCGAAATTTTCCTTCTATGATCACCCCTCCTGCTTCCACATTGATTTGATCAAAATGGCTCCTTATGGAGCAACATTCGTATCAAACAAATACCTACTTCATGGTAGCCTCCGCAAGCGGGAACATATAGCATGTGATCGGTGTCGCGCCAAGAAATCCAAGGTGTGTAGGGAAATTGTTGACAAATGAATGATTTCTCTTGCTCTAGATGTGCTAACTTCTAGAAAGTGTGACAGCCATATGCCTTGTTCTCGATGCATAATAAAAAACACGGTGTGCGTCAACCAAAAGCGAAGTAAAGCCCTAAATAGGGTGTGTGCACAGAAGTGCGTATGCTGGTGAGGTGGTTCAAGTTGGAAGTGACTTGGTGGGCCGATGGAATGTTGGGGACAGGGTTGCAGGTTTTGTCCACGGTGGCCAATACCCTGACGTCGGCTCGTTTGCTGAATACCTGAAGGTCGATGGAGAACTTGCTTGGCCTATCCCTGACACGACTACCATGTCTGAAGCTGCAACATATGGCATTCCAGCTGTCACTGCAATGCTTTCACTTGCGCACCTTGATGTCGCATGGGAAAACATTTTGTCAGGAGCTACGAGGCAGTCTTCTGCTGATTCATCAATCCTCATTTACTCCGGTGGTTCGAACGTTGGGCTTTTCGCAATTCAACTTGCAAAAAGGGCAGGTCTTCATATGGTTGTGACTGTATCCCCACGATCATTTGATCTTGTCAAAAGCTATGGTGCAGACTCGGTATTTGACTATCGGTCCCCCACAGCGGCGAGTGAAATTTCCAAAGCGTATCCTGACATCACCAAAGCTTTGGATTGCTTTTCTGAAGGCAACTCCTCTCAATTCTGTGCTGAGGTGTTGAAAAGGGGACGAGCTATCACGTTGCTTGATCAAGGGAAGCCGAAAAAAGCGGAGATCGAGTTCAAAAGTCTCATGGTTTTCACCGTCTCTGGAAAACCGTTCTCCTTGCTGTCGCCCCTAGGTCCAGCGTTCCCAGTTGTGCCCGATGATCGGGATTCGCTTCGCTGGTTCTATGCTAGTTTGAGCCAACTATGTGATCGTGCTTTGAAGCCACCCCCTGTTACAGCGCTGGGAGGAGGACTTGATGCGGTACTTGACGGTCTTGAGAGGCTTCGGAAAGGAGAAGCCCACGGCACCAAGCTTGTTGTAGAGCTTCCGTGATGGCATTCTCTCACGAATTACTTATTCTAGAAAGCTCCTCGAGATTAGGTAGTCTCATTTAGTGGCCTTGGTAGTGGGTAACAAGCTATCTGAAGAATGAGTCAAGGAGTACGATGCAGCCTACATAGTAGCTGAAGCTCAAAGTAGAATTCGCGTATACATAATATGACCGGCTCGTATGTGGTCGGCAATAGGGTTACAGAAATATATAAAAATAACCATACAACATCAACAAATGAGCTATGAGTTCATCTTGCGGTAGCTGAGCTTTGCTGAGGAGTGAGTAAAGATTGCTGGCTTTTGAATTCTTGTCCCATAGACAGTTACCTGCATCTGTCAAGTAACTATCATGCGGCATAACTCGACCGACACGGCCACCTCAACTCACACGACTTCTCACTCTCCTTTTCATCACGAGTGACTAGGTTGGAGGCAAAATAAGAATTATACAGCTCCCTCCGATACGAAAGGGGATTTGTCGGCGGCCTTTTCAAAGGCAATCCGGACTGCTGATGATAGTGATTCTCAAGCAGATGTTGTCCAAATACAAGACCAGTTCTATGATTTCCTAAATCACCGTAATGGCAGAGTTTCCCATTAAAGGCTTATACTGTATGGAAAAGTGGGCAAAATGAAACTCCTAGTAAGCCGTGAAGGACATGTCATTGGGTATCTCATTACCATCCACCTCGAATAACTCCTGCCCTCCAGGAGTTCCCAGCTGCTTAAAAAGACTCGAATTGTTCGGTTTCTGATGTGTTTATCTAATTCTGCAGCTAAGCTTCAAGCAGCTAAGCTTTAAGGTATGTCTCTAGGTTTACGCGGTTATAGTTTTGCAGCCTGAGATACTACTATAAAAAGTATATCAACGGAGCTTTGAATGGAGTCACATGCTTCATTGTAATACTCGTTCAGACGCTTCATAAGATCTGTTGTACATCTCTTAGGTAGTGTTATTGAAACGGGAACAAACGGCATATAAAGCGACCGTAAAAACGGTAGTTTCACTAACAAATGATCCATTCCCGCTGTCGTATACTATTGCCATCACTGTCAAGACCAGCCACCGAAGAGGGACTTACGTAGTGAAGGTGGTTTACAGACTTAGATAGGAAATACAAGTGAAAGCGGTTAATGGCAGTTGCAGTGCTCTCACGCCATGTTTGCAAACTATCGCACGTGTATGCATTGCTCTCCCCTTCTCACTTCTGTCATCTGAACATCTCATTTTTTTGCTATATTCTGTCACCTTCAATAAAGGAAGACATAGAATGCGGGAAGTGTACCCCAATAACCTAAGATAGGAGGTTACTAAAAAAAGTAGTCGAATTGTGATATTCGACAGCGAAACAGAGTTAAAAGGTGTGCAACTCGTATTCGTAACCCCTGACGAAGCCCAGGAAGGTAACACCATAAAGGAGTGAATGAATATGCGATGCAACCTCAGAATGAGTTATGAAAATTATGCATCATGCTAGACAAGGAAAAGAGAGAGAAGATGCAATTTACAGACTGAAGTGCCTTCATTGCCCCAAAGGGGGAATCCCGGAGTAGGGGGCCGAAAAGACCTCCGAAACTCGCTTTATATCAAACCCCTCCCACTCCCGCCTCTTGCTTCATCTTTATAGCCTGTCTCAAAACATATATCTCTCTCAAACTGTCATTAATCAGCGCGTGAAAGCGAAAGTAACCAGCGCCCGGGGAGAAAAAAAAAAAAGGGGGGTCCTTCAGTAAACCTGAAACCCGAACGCGACCCAACTCAAACATAACGACCATAGAACGACCAATACACCAAAACCACCCAAGATGGGGCAAAAACCATCAACGCCCAAACCAGGTGCGACGATCCAAGTCATCGGCGCAGGCCTACCACGCACAGGGACATCCTCCTTCAGCCAGGCCCTAGAAATACTGCTAGACGGCCCAGTCTACCACTGCGGCACGCAATCATCAATGGGCCCACCAGCAGAAATAAAAGGCTGGATACCAATCCTCCAAAATTGGCTAAAAGGCGACCCGGCGAGCCGCGCGACAATGCTCCCACTCCTGCGCCGCCGATTGGCGGGCTACGTCGCCATAACGGATTCCCCAGGCTCCCAGTTCATCCCGGAACTGATGGAATTGTACCCAGACGCGAAAGTCATTTGCACAACGCGCGACCCGGTCCTCTGGGAACCCAGTATGATGCGCGTGCAGAGTCTAACGGGTGTTTGGTTTGCGCGGCTTGCGCTGCTGCCGCTGCAGGGGATGCGGCATTTTATTCCTTATGGGCATTTGCTTGCTGCGCAGTGGGAGAGGTTGTACGGGGGTGTTTCTGGGTATCATGGGCGCGAGACGTATGAGAGGCATATTGCTTGGTTGACCGAGGTTGTGCCTAAGGAGAGGTTGGTTTTCTTTGATGTTAAGGATGGTTGGGGGCCGTTGTGTGAGGCTCTGGGGGTGGACAGGCCCCCGGATCAGGAGTTCCCCCGCATTAATGATTCTGAGGCTATCGAGAGGACGGTCAAGTATCATTTGCGGAGGGGGTTGACTCGTTGGGCTGTGGCTTTTGCTGTTCTTGGTGTTGGCATTGCGGCTTTCAGCAGGTATTGGTGATGGACGGACGTGTGAATATCAGGATATGGAGAATGTGTGAAAGTTCAACTGTACTAGCATTGCCAATCTTGCATGTCTGGAGGCTGTCGGTCTTCGAAGACCACATGAACGTGATCAAGCGATGCATGAACATAAGAAAGGATATCTTGCATATTCATGTACCCGAAAAACTATTATACAAATCAACCCATTATATCTTTTCATAGATTCCCCCCAACCTTGAAAGTTTCTCACCGATGAGCCCGCTCGAGCGATGAAGAACCGAAGCTCCCAAAATCATGGGATGTTTCCACGGTAGTCTCGATCTCCGTCTGAGTGAAAATCTTGCCATCAGGAATAATCCTCTCCTCACTGGAGTTGCTAGCAGGTCTAATCTGAGTACCCATTTCTGTATCTTCCTTGCCATTGTCGGTGCCCAAGGTGATGTTTCTGGGACCAATGACTTTGGTGAAGCCGGAGCCATACCGTCTCGCGGAGGTGTTGCCCGACCAGGGACCGTACTTCTTTCCGCTACTGTATTCTCCAATAAACCGAGGCAGGAAACGGGAGGCGATTGCCTTGAATGAGGGGATTGAGGCGGCGAGAATACCGATGTTGGTCTCAATGACGGACCAGTACATGGCACCGCTGATGGCATAGGTGAAGTCAGCGGATGTGAGCATAGCGGGGATATAGGTTATTCGAATGATGGAAGAAACACATGCGCTGGAAAGATGGAACGTTAGTCGTTGTGAGTTCCTGGGTTGAGACTGTCACTTACAAGAGACCAAGACAGAGGATGATGCCGAGTACAATCTTTTGCTTCTTGGGCATCTGTAGTCTCAAGATAACTTTGATGGGCAAGGTATAAGTCAAAACATCAGTTAAGATGTTCAGCGCCGCATTGCAAAGATAGAACACGTTGATATCGACACACGTCCCCGGCTCAGTGCTTGCCCAAGCCTTGCTAATAGGCTGGCATTGGAATGCAGCCACGAGCACAAATGAAGTGGCTTGTGCTCCGATGACTCCCATCATGACCCAGGAGAGGCGGGTCAGGTAACGATCTCCGAGACGAGTATAGAACCATAGGACAGATGTCTTGACAAAACCAAGACACGCAAGGTAGAACATGGAACTAAGCCAAACAGCCTAGAGAAAGTCAGTGATGTAAGATGACTTTCGGACTGGTATTCTTACAAAAGCGTAGTCAATGAGCTTTGTCTTGTCCGTATCGACATAGTGTGTTCCAAGTCCATTTTGAACGGCTAAATACAGTCAGCTTTTGCAACATTAAAGGCCGGTATCAACTTACCAACAATTGTGACGGCGATAAATGCCCAGGCCAATGACTGTTTTTATTAGTGAACGGTTTGTTAGATTTTGAGTCAGATTGGCTTACACAAGCTCCGATAATGAGGTCTTGGAGAGAGTCAGCGTGAAAATAATGACGGCGTACTGAACACTTACAGTCATCGAGACCCATTTTACCCAAGACATATACACGGGCAAAGAGACGAAGAACCAAGACACAAAATGTTACAACGGCAAAGGCCACACAGATGCCGACCACCACCGGTCCTTGGGTGCCATCAGCAGCCATAATGAGGGGTAAGAAAAGGTAGAAGTAAAGGAAAGGAAACAAAGAGCGAATTAGTCTATTAACGAATGGCAGCCGTTTCACCTCCCCGTCTCACAGAGAAGGGGATCATGAAAACAGAAGAACTGCAAGTATCATCGGAAAGATTAAGAAGAACGGTTCGCGGTACCCCAGTCTACAGTTATAAAGAGATTTATTTTAGATTTCCTGAACTAGCATGAACAAAAGGACCGTGTAAACTGCTAAAGGTGCGGATTGTGCATGGTCTAGTCCTTCGATCCAGACCCATCATGGCTCAAAAACAAGGTAGGGATTGACAAGGGCTTTCCCTTTCTAGAAATACGAAAGACGAGACTGTCAGAGGCACCGCTATTCACCCAAGGATCGACTGTTTAACCCGCCCGCCACTCTGGGAGGGGCTTGAGACACGGGGATCCAAAAGGCGAAAATAGAAGTCTGTGCAAGCTTTTTTGCTTCGCTACGCAGACGCGGAGATGGGCTTTTCTCTCTCAATTGTTACGTACTTGGAAACATTTTGGATACACCCACTTTGCCCAGTCTTGGCCCTAGCTGATAGGATCTACAGACAGTAGTTCGAAGAAAAGGAAATATTTGTGTTTATGGAGTAGTACATTAGATATCCACACCAAGACAGGGTTGGCATTGGCTTGGACAGGGCTGGGTTGACACGTTCAACGTCTCAACGATCATTTAGAAATTTTTCCTGGGCGAAACTACTGCTCGTATTTGGGGTATCTGTCAAGAACCAAAAACCTGATCTTAATCTAAGCGGAAAGCGACCGAGTTGATCTCCAATTCCCCAACTTATGTATATATTGTGTCTTTTTTTAGTACAGTGACACAGCAAATGTTTTAACACCATTAGACAGACCGTTTTTTAGACCGCTTTTTATATTTCTATCAAAATGGCCGTCGTGATGGTTCCGATGGTGACTTTGAATATCAAACTAAATTCAATTGACAGGAAGCCGGAAAAAGTCAAAAGACCTTATCGTTTCCCCCGGAGCGACTAGAAAATCCTACGAAACACAGCCTAAAAGTTCTTTTATCCTGGAAAATGGCTTTGACCGTACTTACACGGAAGGGGCGGTGGGATCCACGCGGACGGGCGTTTCAGCGCTCGACAGATCTGTCTCGGTCGCGATGTGCCGAGTCAAATGGGCTTGCCCCTACTGCAGACATGACACTAGACTAAATGTAGGCTAATGCTCTAAAGCTTCCGATCTGCATTGGCCTTCCGAGCCGTCTGGGTGGAGAGCGGGTCGTCCTCCACACTTGTTAAGCGAAATTGACTGAATGGTGAACAGGCCCCTTCAAAGACGTTGCACTAAAAGAAGATAATTGGAAAGGGTTTGAGAGCCGCGGATACATGTGATACAATTCATTCTTATACATGAGATTCAAGAAGCAGCAAATATCAAATATCTGCAAAAGTCCAGGGCTTTTTGTTAGTGGAACTATAGACTGCCAGTCTCCGTACATACTAATACATACTAAGTGGTCCGGTGGCTCTCGGAAGTTGCCCTGCTGTACTTATTTCCCGATCAACAGCCTTTTTGGGAGATCCGAAACTAGAAATCTCAAGGTGTGTCTTCCGGAATAAACAGTGTTCTCGGCCATTTACGACCGGTGGGATCGGCGGCTGTCAAAACAACTCCTGAACGAATCATAAAATGTACCATTGGGAACGGAGAATGACATGCGGGATCAATGACCGCACTATGTCGCGGCTTAACCTCGGGCTTTGGCGCATCACATTCTCTAAGGAGGAATTAGTGGAGAGTACTTTCATGATATCTCCACTGCCAGAATCACAGTCCTAACCTGTCTCACTTGATCTATCACGGACGGACGCAACACAGACTGCGTTTATTAGATACAGTCAAAAGCACCCTCCATGAAATATTGTATTTTATCTCTCCACATTCATTTCGCAAAGAACGTGTTCGACCGTTTATTAACGGCCACTCTGGCGCTAAGACCCAGCAGGCCGCTCTTGTCCTGGCGTCTGCAGCCTCATTTAGTTCCGGCTTGCGCCCAGTGGGAAGTTGGCATTTCCATAGTGGAGAACGCCACAGCCTGCACTGCACCCGTCCCTAGTGCCAAGGTACTTTTGTTTCTAAAGTAAACAAAGCATCCTCTTCATACGAGGCCCGACCTGTGCAAATAGCCCGAACCGGATAATCCTTGTTTCACATGTTTCGCATTCGCAACATAAGACCCTCTCCGCGGCGGGGACAATCCAATCTCCCACGCTGATCACCGTAGTGCAGACTAAGGCGTGCCATTGCTACACCCAGTTTATACGGAGAATGCCGACTGCCGTGGCTCCACAATGCCAACTCCTCCTTTCCTGACAGATGCAGGTTCTCCATCTGTTTATTCATAATCCAGACCATCCCTACTGCATCAGGAAAGTGTATCATCAGCCGCTATCCGCCGTATACGGAGTTCTGTAGCCTGGACATGCGCGGAGAACCAGCCACGACGTCCCAGTTCCGAATTAGCAAGCGGAGTCGTAATCACATCCACACCGATGTCAATGCTTCAAGAACCGGAGACACTAAATTCAAGGGGGAGAATGGTAGGCTTCTCGGTGTGTGGTGTACTGCCGAGTATAGCTTCAACCATCAGACCCAGTTAGGTCTAGACTTGCATGATTCAAGGAAATGAACTGTTGTGGACATGACTACCACGGCATAACCATCAGGCCAATGCCCTTTTGCCTCTTACAATGCAAGGTTCTTGAATGGGATTAGGGGATTTGGAGATTTGGGGATCTATTATTTTTTGGAGGGGTTGTCTCCCTTCTAAAGAAAGCCGTTTCCATCTGCTCTTCATGTTGGCTTGTCTTCTCTAAACCGCCATGGGTCTCGTAGAGTATATCCTGTCACTGGTGACAGTGACGAATGTCGTTTTGGGTCTGATTGCTTATGTTGCTCTTAAGTTTGGCTATCAGATTATTTACTATCGTTTCTTCCACCCGCTCTCTAAATTCCCTGGTCCTTTCTGGGGTTCTGTGACTCGGCTTTGGATCGCATGGCATAATCTGCAGGAAACAGAAGTACCGACTGTTTATGAGTTGACGAAGAAACATGGTTAGTCTTGGTTTATTCAATTAAGTCTTAAGGTCTTGAGATTGATGTTCCCCAGGTCCTGTTGTTCGCATTACCCCGACATTGCTGCTGGTCAGCGATTATCGAAAGCTCCCGGATGTCTACCACCGCAATGCAGACAAGACCGGTCATTACATCACTGGAAGTTTTGGAGAAAATGAATCTCTGTTCAACATGAGGTCTCACAACACCCATGCAGTGTTCAGAAAACATATAGCTGGTCCGGTACGACATAATGCATGCGCAGCAATACCCGAACTATAAAACTGACAACATGCAGTACTCCTTCACCAACATCAAGAAAATGGAACCCCTGCTCGACATGCGCATTCAAGAATGGACCAACAAACTCGACGAAAAGTTCGTCAAAACCGGCGAAGCCTTCGACTTCTCCTGGTGGGCAGTGTAAGCAGCACCAGCACCAATTCAACAACACCAAGAAAACCCCACTAACAAACCAAATAGCTACATGGCCTACGACATAATTAGCGAAATCGGCTTCGGCGAGCCCTTCGGCTTCATAGAAAAAGGCGAAGACATCGGCGGCCTAATCCAAGGCTTCCACGACGGCCTCCCAGCCTTCGGTCTCCTAGCCCGTCTGCACCCCTTCACATCATGGATAAAAACAACCTTCCTAAAGAAATACCTCGTCGCCAAGCCAGAAGATAACAACGGAATTGGCGTCCTAATGCGCTTCCGCGACCGCCTCATCGACCAGCGCATCAAAGACATCGAAAGCGGCAAGAAAATCGACCGCACAGATCTCCTCCAAACCTTCCTCGAAGCCAAAACGGAAGAAGGCAAACCCCTCGATCTGGAATACATCCGCGCAGAAGTCCTACTCGTCCTCCTCGCCGGCGCAGACACAACTGGAACAGCTTTCCAGGCATTGATGACGTTCCTAATGGCGAACCCGGACGCGTACGAGCGCATGGTGGCTGAAATTGATAATGCGACAAGGAAAGGGTTGATCTCGGACATGCCGCAGTACAGTGAGGTTTTGGAGCATTTACCGTTTTATGTCGGTTGTGTTAAGGAGACTATGCGGCTTTGTCCTTCTGCGCCGAATATTTTCCCGCGGTATGTTCCTGAGCCTGGGATTGAGCTTTATGGGCAGTTTGCGCCGGCTGGTACGGAAATTACTTGTAATCCTTATCTTGTGCAGCGGGATCCGAAGCTTTATGGGCATGATGCTGAGGAGTTCCGGCCTGAGAGGTGGTTGGATGTTGAGAAGGCGAAGTTGTTTAATAAGTATAACTTTGCGTTTGGATATGGGTCCCGGGTTTGTTTGGGGAAGGATATTGCTATGATGGAGTTGTTTAAGGGTCCTTTGCTGGTGAGTTTGCCGTTTTGATGTTTGTTTTAGGTAGGGATGGTTGCTAATCTATTTTTTTAGTTCTTTCGTCAGTATAAGCCCGAGGCTGTACCCGGCAAACCCGAGGCTAAGTTCATGGTCAAGGGCGGTGTCGGGTACTGGAGGGATGTGTGGCTCACTATTTCGAAGAGGCCACAAGTCAAGGCCGAGTGAGCGTTTGTTTTGGTGATGGATTGGAAAGGAATACTTGTTAATATTGAGTTTGAGTTGCCACTGTACTATAGGAGCGGGCAATAAATACCTCGGGATCAAGGTGTGAGATATGCAATACTTTGTTTATAGACGTGAGAAGAGACGGAAGTATTGAAATTATGTTATGGCGTCGAAGACTGATATATTTGACCGGAAGTATGTAAAGAGAATTGCACATACAACTAAGAGCATGCAACCAATCCGAGAAAATAAAAGTCAACGAAGAAAATCTTTTTTGATAGCTCTCCCGCCCGTATATGGCGAGACATGAAACACGATACCGATATTAGATATGGTGC